GCAAAGGAATAACGAGAAATTCATGACGCCAAAGAAAGTCAGGATGGATGGGATACCCCAGAAATATTCCAGCCCTGGAAGTAGGTTCAAACTTCAAAGGCTTGTTGGGTCGATTCCTCGGGCCGGTCCAAAAGTTGACTTGACAACCAAAGGGCAAGTATGGTCCGGGAAAATCTTCTCCAAAACGTACTTTTCATGGTGAATAATAATCTGAGTGGTCCGTGATGTTATGCGCCATGCAATAGTGTTTGGCGGCATGTGGCCAATACGAATGATGCAAACCAGCTTGTTCCAGGTTGGTCCTCGTGCCCTCGATAATCGCCCTGACGTTCCTCTCAGCAATAGCATTTGTTTTGGAAATGTAGTTTGTACTTTGAACATGCTTCCATTCCAATTGATCTGCCGCTTTCACAAGTTCAGGAGCCCGATCACTGTAAAACACGTTCACGGTTTCCCCGGTGCGGACAAAGTGCTTGAATGCCATCACACACTGATGAGAGGTTTTCCGTGCTGCTGGGTAAACATAACGGAAGTCAGTGGCAACATCTCGAACAACAAGTGCAACTCTAGATTGGTCAATGCCGATTTCACGATCATCTGATGTAATAAGATGGTCCGCCGTGAGGTGATCACCAAACTTCTTGGCCTCGACTTGAGTGGAACCTCCCTTCTGTCTTGATGGATATTTGTACATCTTCGCCCTGTTGCAAGTCTCACAAAAGGGGTTTTTGGGAGTGTGACACATCAAGTGCTGGAGTGAGGTCGCCTCATCACGCAAAGCTGCTTCACCGCGTTCGCGAGGGGCGTCCTTCAAAATAGGCTTCGACACAAAATCGGAAGCGATGACCTTAGGCGCATCTTCGGAGGGAATGTCATGGCACTCTTCAATGACCTCACCTTCCGGTTGGCTAATGGTGTCCTCAAGCAAGAAATCATCGTTCCCCAATTCATCCCCATCATCCTCATTGGTCACAAGCACCTCTTCAACAGCTTCGGGTTCCTCGTCAATGACCAGAACTTCATCATCGATTTCAATGGGAGCTGATGGTAATGATGTAACCTTTGGAATGCTCTGTGACAAAGCTGGAACAGCATCTTGAGTTGCTGGGGGAATGAATGGGACATTGTCTTTGACCTCGAGCTTGATGCGTGAACCATCCGGAAGTCGAAAATAAGGCCTGCTGTGGGCTCTCCAAACGAAATCATATCCGTCCCTGAGGCATCTCATACCCACGGATAACACGGATGGAGCCTTGTCAAGAACATATGGCCGAACAACACTATCGGTCTGTTGGATCTTGACCCTGGCCTGCTTGGTACCAATGATATTCCCATTAGCCGTGGAAAATTTCAGAGGCTGAGACGATTCGTAAATACATCCCATCTCCGCATCGGTCCCCGATAGCAAGTCCTGAGAAGCTCCTGTATCTGCAATCCACGGAATGTGAGAAGAATCCATTGTCATTCGAGCAACAGCGGCTTTCCCCTTTTTGGGGGAGGTCACGGACTTCTCTGGCTCGGCCGTTAGGCCTGCGGGGATGCAGGAATCACAACCGAAATCAGAGTCGCATTGAAATTTGCAAGAAGTCTTCGTGCCTTTGAGCAAATCCTTCGTCATAGCTTCATGCATGGTGCCGATAAGAATTGCGTCATAGACGGCTCTCTCATCGTACTTCGGAACATAATCAACAGGAAACTCGTGTGCAAACCTTCTTGACGAGGCAGTGTAGGGCCAAAGCTCGCCGTCAGTCTCATAGTTCGAAATGGATGGGTAATCAGAAAATTGCACGCATTTCTTGATGCATGGCATACACTGGAAAACATCGTGAGTCACACTAGGCAAGCAAGGATGCGAGGCGACCGAGTCGAGGGTCGCGGCGCACACCATCGCCTGAAGGAGGCACACCGCAGCATTGCTGCCTTTTGACGATCCCGGAGACTTGAGGGACTGAGAACCCTTTGAATCTTTCGAATCTTGAGAAGAAGGCCTGCTATCCTTCTTCCCCTTTTTCTTTTTCTTGTCCCTCGGCGACGTCTTGGGGGTGTCTCCACTAGCGGTCTTCTCGGCCTTTGGGGCTGGAGCTGCCTTGGAAGTTGCGGGGTGCTGCCATGGGCAATCTTTCCCCCTCTCACATCTGTTCGCTTTGAAGAACTTGCACACCTGGGGCTTCGAACCAGGGGGACTCTGCGAACGATACTTCCTTGGCGTCTGGGGTCTGGACCCGCCCTTCTTGCCTTTCCCCTTACCTTTCGGTGCCTTAACATGTTCGAATCGGCAGTCTGAACCATAGGTGCACTGGCCAGTTTGAAATTTGATGCATACACCCTTGGGGATTCCAGGAACTGCAGGGTTGTTCGATGGAGTCCTGCCACGCCCCGTTGTGTTGCTTGACATAGCATCCCGCATGTGAACAAGCCTCTTGCGCTCCAAATAATTCCTCGATGCGTCAATCAAGAATTTATAGGAGTGCTTTTCCGTACCTTCCTCAGCTCGCTCATACTCATTGAGATCATGACTGAGGGGCCGAAACTTTCGAATCTGGCGGTGGAACAGCGCTTCGAGGGTCTTCTCATTTTGCTCATTGCCCATTCCAGCGATGACCGTGTCCCATCTCGTCATGAAATTTCTGAGGTCCTCGTTGATGAGCTGGACAGAGAGCAAGTCCTCAAAGTCGTAAATTGCACCATGTTTGATGTTCGTGCTGAAGTGCTTGTGAACCATCAGAAGAATTTGGCGCCCCCTCGCATAGCGTTTCTCCTTTGCTTCTTGTTCTTTGAAAATGTCCACTTGCCGCGCGAGGTCGCCCTCCAAGATATTCGTCAACGCCGATGCCAGCTTTGCATCAAGATGGACAAACATTCCTGAATCACGAAGGACTTCAACAGTTTGACCTGGGATCCAAGTTGCCTCAATCCATTCGAATGCCTTTTCGGGTTGGTCGGAAGTAGCAACAACAGCATCCCTAACTTTGATCCTCCAATTACGGTACTGTTCGGGCTTCGGGAATCGGGGAATCTGAATTCTGTCACCCTCCTTTACACGAACGCGTTCCGCTGTCGGATCGCTCGAATTACCTAGGTGCTTCAGTAGCTTTCGTCGAAAAGATTCATCCGATGCAGTCGAAGTTGATGACGAAGATGACGAGGGAGAAGATGACGGATCTCGTCGCCGGCGTCGGCTACGGTCCTTCTTCTTTTTCTTCTTCTTCTTCTTTTTCTTGTCCTTGTCATTTCCACCATCACCATCATCGCAAGGCCAACCGTCTCCGGTAGCAGCATCGTCCACGGCCCCGGCGGGAACAGATCCGTCTTTGCCGTAGGGGTCGCTCCCGACTTTCGTCCAACTGTGCGAGGAAGCATTCGAAAGTCCGGGTGGAGATGCAGCCAAAGGAACTGTCGGGATAGCCAAGGGGGTAGCTGGTGCCTGCTGAACCGGAGGCGCAGGAGCTGGAGCAGGTTGAGCAGGCGGTTGCTGTTGGTTCTGCATCATCTGCTCGACCATAGCCCTTAGCTCTCTGATCTGCTTCTCCTGCTCGCTGATCGTGTTCATGGCGTTTTGGTACTTCATCTCGGCTTCTCTTTCTGACTTCATGGTGTTCGCACGCTGCTCCGCATTCATCTGAATCTCGCGTCTCATGGTCTCCGACTGGCTTTGGAGACCGGCAATGATCTCACCATGCCTTGCCTCCGCCAGCTGGGCGACCATGGGACCGGTGTCCTGATTCACGAACTGGTTGAATTGGGCATTGTTCTGGGTAGCGTTGATCTGCTGATAATTCGTCACGTCCTGGTTGATCGTCATTGATGGATCGAGGTGGACGTTCGCAACATGTTGGTTGAACTGATTCATGGACTGTGGCATAGGGTTTCCCCTTGCGAGGTCGGTCTGGGGGTCGTACATGACGATGTCACCATGCCGATGCCGATCTGATCCTACAGGAGAAGGAGATCGAGCACCAGACCGCCCAGCCCTCCCACGGTCACTCCGGGATCGGAGTGATTCGGGGCCCTGACTGCTCAGTGCTTGTCCCTTCCTGATGAGCTCCCTGGCCACTTGGGAGTTTGCTCGACTAGTCGGTTCATATTGCGAGGCGTCCTCATCGCCTGCTGGCTCACCAGGTGTGGGACGCACCTCGGTATGGGGTAGTCCAGGGTCGCCATCCATGGCGTACAACTCTGTACAAAGAGCCGCTTACGGCTGATAACCTATAGAACAGGTTAAACAACCGGGAAGGGTCACAATTGAACCCTGTACTCAGCGCGCTTTTTCCTTGAGCCACGTGCAGTCGTAATGATGAGACTGCACAAGTGAGACATGCATGCATTGGGGTTTACATGGTTGATAAATACATCACGTTGCAAACTACAATATGAAAAGCAATACTACCTGGCGCAGCTGGCCCAGAATGCACAATCGTTCCGTGTCCAGCCAGTGTTCCTTCAAAAGCAAGGACAACGGGTCGAACAAACCTTAGGGCATCCAAGTGAATAAGTAAACAAATCTGCACATATATACATTTATGTACTGCGTGGTTACACGTCAGCATGTTAAAATGACAGGGACTTCTTCATGAGGCCCGATCTCACTTTACTCGATTTCTCGATTTTACTTCCCCTCAGGCATGGACCGAGAATGCGTAGAAACACACGACGCCGTTGAGGCCAGGGCCCCAGCATGAAACTTGAAACACGGGACTCAACCGGCAAACAGTTGGTGTATGCCAGCTCAACGGGGTGCTAGTAGGCTAATGCTACCTCAGCTTTTGCTATGGAAATCATGGACCAACCAAAAACGCTCCAAAAAAACAACTCATTGACATATGGAACCCTGCCAACCATCATCTGTGCTAATCAAGAGAAAGCTCCTTTTTGGGGGACCCCCTTCTTCCTCACTTGCCCAGTTTAGCATGTATGACCCACTAAGGGCCCAGGGAAAGCTGGTTGGATCCGGTCGATTGGCTGACTGGTCCTCTTTGCCGTGAGCTTATTTGCCATGACTCCTTCTTGGCCTCTGAAAAGCTCCAGAGCCACGACTCGTAGTCCTCCTCGAAATCTGACCGTTTAGCCGGGCTTGTGCAGGATTCACAACTTATCCCTGAAGTCTGAAATCGGACATCAAGCAACACATGCTGGTTGATTGAATAAGCCCTGGTTGGTTTGCAGGGGGCTGCCCTTTGTGGGAATTCCTCAATTTTGTCGATGACAGCCCCCATGAGCAGGACACGTTTATAAATGCCGGGGATTTCCCGCACCGTTGAACAGTTGGCTGCTGGCCCGAACAGCGGCCAGTCTCCATTGAGCAACCAATCGATGCCTGTAGGTCCTACCTTATATAGGTCCGTTCTTTTGGCAAAGCATGGATGGCGGTTGTGCTGCGAAAAAAACTGGAGCGACAAACCAGTGCCATCTATCTTCAACCAAACTGACATGATAGGACACCTATGCTTTTGAACCCCCTCCTGAAAATCGTGGGAAACAAATGGACTCCCTCAAAAAGTGCTTCTGCAGCACTTCTAAGGGGGGGTCTCCTTCGTTGTTCCAGAACTGGCTGTCAAAGGGCACATCCTTCAATGATACGATGTTGGCGAGAGTCAGGAACCGACGGGGTGCAAAAGGAGATACAACATGTCTCTTGGAGCTAGGTTCCGCATTGAAACAAAGAGTCTGAAACAATTCACGGCTACAGTTACAGGGCATAGCAGCAGCATATGCCAGGGGCGGACACGGTTGGTGCTTCTGGCTAGGTTCCAGCCTGAGATTCAGAGGGACCAAACGCGCAGAAATTAGGACCCCGCTCCCACTCCCATACTGCCTCAATATTACAGGAAATTATGTTATTAAGGTGATGCCACAAACCTGCTCGCCCAAAGGAAACCGGTAACCTAATGGGATATACGCTTCCTTGGAGTATGGTGAGGATACGCAGCCACCCATCTCGCAAGGGGCAGGTCAAAAACAAAGGCAGGTGCAGCACAAGTGATTCGAATCCCGGCTTTGGCTGAGAATCCGAGATCTGCTGCGTGCAGCACGCAGCAAACCCCTGTGGCAAAACCTATTTAGGCTCACCCAATAAACAACCGAGACGATTGAGTTTGCGAACTACCTAGAGCACCCGAGACCGAACAAAAATATTGAAAACCTGGTTTCTATAACCAGGACGAAACATACGGGGTTGGTACAGGGTAAATATGGAGTTTGTACGGTTTAAATCCACGATGCAATCACACAAGCCGGGAAATTATGTTGGAGCCCGGTGTTTTCAGAATACCAAGAGAAATGCACCTGGTTTTCAATTAAACATTGTCATGGGGCAGGTTGCCAACGCTTGCGCCCGGGACTGGTCTCCGTAGGCTCAAGCCTGCTCGAAAAAAGAACCCCCCCCAAACAAAAAAAAGATGAGGTTGTGGGAGAAACCAGTCATGTGGAAACAATGGGCACTGGTCCTCGCAGTCGAAGGGCGCGACCGAGGTGGACAGGTCGACCTCCTTCTGATTGGGGCAGGCCACCCAATAGTGCTTGCAACACCAGGCTTTCTTGGCCGCTGAGAAGCCAAGCTCCCAGTTCGCCAAGCCATCGTTGCAGTCAAACTCGTCCACTTCCTGTCCAGCCAAACACCCACGCTCCTTATGCTGGCAGCACCAGTCTTGCTTCTCTTTAGGCCAGTGCGCTGGAACATCCTCGTAGCAGTCGAACGAAGTGGATGGCAGCGCTGCCTGTGAAGTGCTAGTTGGCGCCGCTGTGGATGTAGGCGTCTCAACTGGGCATGCAATAGCATGATGGCCACAGCACCATTCTTTCTTGGCCTCTGAGAAACCTAGCTCCCAATTGTCGAAGCCCTCTTTGCAGTCAAATTCCTCCGTGGATGTAGATGTTTCAACTGGGCATGCAATAGCATGCTGTCTGCAGCACCATTCTTTCTTGGCATTTGAAAACCCTTTCTCCCAACTGGCGAAGCCCTCTTTGCAGTCGAATTCCTCCATGGATGTAGATGTTTCAACTGGGCATGCCATAGCATGATGTCTGCAGCACCATTCTTTCTTGGCCTCTGAGAACCCTAGCTCCCAATTGTCGAAGCCCTCTTTGCAGTCGAATTCCTCCATGGATGTAGATGTTGCAACTGGGCATGCAATAGCATGATGTCTGCAGCACCATTCTTTCTTGGCCTCTGAGAACCCTAGTTCCCAATTGTCGAAGCCCTCTTTGCAGTCAAATTCCTCCAGTAGTTGTTCTGGAGACGTGGCCGGAGCTGGCCCGTCCTCATGTCCAGCCAGCAGCGGACATCCCAGTTCTTTGTGTTGGCAGCACCAGTCATGCTTCTCTTTGGACCAGCGCTCTGCAACATCCACGTGGCAGTCGAACACATCGACAGCTGGCAGTGCCGCCTGCGAGGTGCTTTCTGGCGCCGTGGAGGTTGTAGTCCGAGAACGGGTGCTTTCGAGGGCAGTGGATGTGGATGTCCCAAGCGGGCACGCAACGCCATGCGTTCGGCAGCACCTCTGCTTTTTGGCCTCTGAGAACACTACCTCCCAGTTGTCCAGGCCCTTTGTGCAGTCCCATTCCTCCGCTGGGTCAGCTGGCAACGGACACCCCAGCGCCTTATGCTCGCAGCACCAGTCTTGCTTCTCTTTGGACCAGTGCCCTTCCACGTCGCAGTCGAACACGGCGGCCAATGGCAAGGTGCTTCCTGGAGTAGCTGTGGATGTAGATGTCCCAACGCATGCGATACCATCATGTCGGCAACAATACGCACGCTGGGCAGCCTCCCAGCTGCTTAAATTCTCCGTGTGAGTGCAATTCCACGCGCAGCTTAGATTTTGGTGCCGGCAGCACCACTGCTTTCCCTCCCACGAAAGGGAGACCTCACTGCAGTTGAACGCGAACTCACATGACAGCTGCAAATTTGCGCAGCACCACCTCTGCTCCTCCTGGGAAACGTTGGCTGCCCTGCACCGCTCATCAAGCGGCGCCTGCTGGCTGCTGTTTGTACTGTTCGTCCCCTCGGACAAGCAAAGCAGGGCAAGCGCCGGGAATGCCCACGCGCTTCGCATGGCGACGTCTTCGGACAAACCTGGGATCTCCGGGAAACTGCCTTTTCTGCTGAACACCTTGCCAGGCTACAAGTCATGAGGAGGGTAAAACTCTTCCAAAACAGAGCCCTTCTCACGACCAACCCCGTTTTTGCAGGTGCCGACATCATTCAATGTTGGAAGGGTCTCCCAAAAGCCTTGGAGTTGGTCTGCAGCCATTGATGGTTTCGTTGACTCACGAACTCTGGGCATACTCGGTTACTCATCTGCGACCTCCCTCTGCGAGCAACCGGCCAAACGAGCGTGCGTGAAAATCAACCATGACCATGCGATTGACTCTCTGGAATTAAATCCAAGCAGCTGACAATTGAAATGAGATGCAATGGGTGCTTTCTAGGTTCGTTCCATCATGTTTAGGATGCCCATACTTAACATGCACAAGTTTGGGGCGTCAAGCAATGGCCCAGTTGCCCAGTGATGCTGGTAGAAAGGGGCCCTCTTTGGGGGTGACCTTTGTCCAGAGGAGCACCCGAAAAACAAATTCAAATTGACAAAGAGTTCCGGAAAGCCACCCAAGGTTCCCTACATTTCCCTCTAAAAGCATTATCATTCAAATTTGACTCGAAAGGTCATGTTTACACTGCCTGCGCGAGTTACAAAAAAAACCCGCAGTCCGCGACCCGACCCGCCTGCATGTGGTGTGCCAACTGGAAGCCTTGCTGCCAGCTGCAGGAGGGGATGCAGCGGTTGAAGCTGGTGATGTCACTGCGAACCTGGCCACGCTGAGCTCAAAAACCATCAGGTTGAGCAGGATGAACAATCCACAACAAACCTTGCTCGTGTTCTAACTAGTTCCCACTATTTACCCAGGGGGGGAAAGAGGGGGGGGGTCTCTGAAGGTTTTCCGAAATTCGTTCCCGCTAATTAGCAACTATCAGCACGGAACGCCTTTTTTGGGGGGTAGTGAAGATTGGAGATCAGCATGACAACCTGGAAAGGTGCCAATTGATGGCTCCAAGCACGTCCTAGGCAGGCGCCGGTATCCGGGAGGGGGGGGAAGGGGGGGCGGGGGGTATCTGAAGGTTTTGTGACATTTCATGAAACAGGTCCTAAAAGAACTTCGGGAAATCGAACAACTGTTAAATGTATAAAGTGCTTCTGTTTCATTTCGGAGACCGAAAGATGTGGGGTGTGCCCTTTTGAATAGAACTGGCTCCTTCTCTTGAACTTCCTGGCATGGGCAACCCGTTTACTGTTGCGCACCTGGCCTCTCTCGGATTTGAGACGAAGCCTGAAGGCCTTGAGGGCTCATTGGCCTGTCGCCCTGGCGCCGACCCCTCGGGCTTGCTATGAGTCGCTGGAACTCTATCGAGCTGTTGACTGTCTTGCTATGACAAGCCCAACCGCATTTGAAAAAACACGTGCTGAGAAGCATCCGACGCAAAAAACAATCATAACACTCGAGCAACTGCGCTGCTTCTATCGCAAGGTGTTCCCTGCCATTCCCTGCCTCAGCTGTGTCGAATGTGCTGAGAGCTGTCAGCGCATCCATCCACGACGTCGGCACCGCCATGGCACCTAAAAGTTTACGAGGGTCCTTTCAGCGCCAAAATTCCCACGGTTCAACGAGAACTCCCAGGCCGGTGCAACACTGATTGAAACCGCCCTGTTTTCTGGGACCCACACGCAAACTAAGTGAGGTCTTCGTCGGCGCTGCTTTGCCCACTGGTCAAGGGTAGGGGAGTGAAACCACAAAATCGAACATGTGTAGACCCTCCGGCCGCTCAGGGCAAGCACAACGAAGCAAAGGCGCGAATGGGATTTCTGTTTCACTTGGTAAGCAATCAGCAAGTCTTCCCGGCTATCAAAGCTTGTCGCAGCTTTTTGTTCCTCAGGTCAGAGTTTGTGTGGATTCCACTATCCCTGTTTATAAGGGTCTTGACGTAATTTGGGGCCTCAGCATGCGCAAGTCCCTTTAACTCCAAAACAAAACTCGGGGTTCCGCATACCAAGCTCCAGGACGCTTCGGGATATCCATGTGGGTGTGTCACAAAAAGGGGACAAGTCACAGACCAAACATTACCAAACACCAGACCGAACAAGTCCACGGAAATGCCATGGAATAGTCATGAAAGGACCTCTGAAAGGCACGCGACATCGCTGCGACAAAAACAACAAGTCTCGGAGTCTCTCCCCCGAGGGTAAGCTTCTGCTGAAAACGCTCCCGCCTTCCGCTTCGCTCGGACCTGTACTACCCTCCGGGCCAAAACTTGGGCAGATTGGCGGCCGCAAGTGCTAGGGCGTGCATTTCGATGGAACCCATGTTGAGTAACAAAACATGAGAGAAACAAGACCAAGCATTTCAGGAGCCTTTTGGACACCTCATGTGCATATATGTGCCTATAGCGAACTTGTTTTTGGCTGGTCTTGAGTAGGAATTATGGTTTCAATGGACACGCAAACTAAAGCAAACCAAATGGACAAGGGCGCCCTTCAGCAACTCCGCCAGGGGCCTTTCTAAACAACGGCTTCAAAAGCCGAAGGAAGACAAAGTAGACAGTCGCTTCGCTTGCAAGAAGGACCGCAAAATAACAGGTTGGACAACCAGCCCTGCAAAGTAAACAACAGAAGCAAGCACAGAAACATCCACCGCTTGAAGAATTGTCGGGGCCGGTGCAAGCAGTCATTTTTGGGGCCATCTATGTCTCTGCCAAATGAAAGTCGAAACCGACCCTTTGATCCTGGAACTCGTGGGACCCTAGCCCTTATCCAAGAGTCCTGCGGATTGGTTTCATGTGGCTGCGGAATTCTCAAAATTGTATGTTGAGCTCTTGAAATGCTCTTAAGGCCAGGAAACCGTCTGTCTGCAAGCAGCATCACCCCAAAGGACAACACACGCCACTGAGCGGTTCAACATGTGTGGCCAATCCAATCCGTCCCTATAACATCACGTAGCCATTTTGAACAGCCCACCTGGCAGGGAGCTTTTCACATGCCAAACGCGAAATTTCCCGCTGGGACGCTTTTACGTGCGGAGCTTATTTATATATATATATATATACAATTCAACACCAGGGGACAGTCGGGAAATAAGGGACACTATGCAGCAAGCGCGGCTTTCTGGTTGCGCAGTGGGATTCGAGCGAACGCCTGCGCACTTCAACGCCTGCCTTGCGGATCTTGCGGGCCCATTTGTTCACAAGTCTACCAAGTTGTCTGGTCAAGGGGCCCTTGGCTAAAACTCTGAAACGACAGAAATACTGATGTTTGCCAATTCAAGTGAAAGCTATAGTTGAAAGTCTTGCGCCATGGTCAAGTGTCTCCAAGAGCAAAGTTCGGATGGCTAGCGAGTAATCAAGTCGATACCGTCAGAGTCACTACACTAGTCAAATCCTTGATGGAATTGGTTGTAGCCGGTTGAAGCTGACATGTTCAAGGTCGACTGCCGCCCCTCACTAGCGCTTGCACATCAGCACAAGATCAACAATTTCGATGTGTCAGGAACTCCGCCTTGAACAAATATGGAAGGGGTCAACAAGGGCCAAGAACTATGGGACAAGCAGCTCAGAGAGCTTTGCAAAATGCTGCGTTGCTTGCGGGTTGCATGGCCAGGTCGGCTTTAAGACCTCGAAAGCATGAGACGCAAAGGTTGTCCCAAAGGTGGAAAAGGACTATATCTGTTGACCTCGGCGTAATCAACGCCTCCTTAAACTCGGACACCCTTGCCTTCCAGTGGTTTATCAACCCCGGGTTTCCATTAGCATCCAGAAGAAGAAGTTTCAGTTGACAGAATGACAAAGCATGGCTCCGACTGGAGGCGGAAGTCTAGGTGCTCAGAACCTTCGGAATGCCAGCGGTGGAGACAACTCTGCTGAGTCGTCTCAGCTCGGCTTGGTCATCGTCCTTTCGGCCGGGGCAATTTCACCATAGGATGCTATTGCGATACGGTTTCCCGGAAAGGGCCTATGGCCTCGCAAGTGGCCCCAGTCTTTCACTACTTTCAGTCACCTACAAGAGAACGTGGGCAACAATGCCCACCTGGATCTTCGTCTTCCTTAGCTTCCCCCTTTGACTCGATATTCGGAAAATCGTAGCACTTTTTGAAAGCTGAAACTCTGAAAACTCCTAAAAAGCGCATTATTACAATGCTCGCGGCCTTTGACAGATTCAAGGAAGCTTTGCGGGGGTAAACGACTTAATGCAGCCCGCAGGTTTGTCAGAACATGCAACGGCGGTCCAAAGTTGAGAGGCGTGGAAAAACGTACCCATTTAGACCCCCAAACGCCCACAAATTTCTGCAAAAAACCTGCAAATCAGAAAAAGTCGTAGTTTTTTTATGATCAAGGCATCCCATGGTGTTCACCGGCACATTGGCAAGTGCTGCGAGATGTATTTACTTTGTATGGCCAATGCGCGACTGGAAAATGGTCTCCTAAAACACCCAGAAATGTCTCGGAGTTTGAAGGTCCAGGCACGTTAGTTTATCTTGTGCCTCCTTTAGCAATTTTAAGTGAACAAGGAAAGCACCGGAACCGCTGCATGCAACCGACAGCAGCTCTCCAGCTTCCCTTGCAACGTGTCTCTACGTTGGCCCAAGTTCACGAGAATGGTCTGGAAGCTGCATTAAAAGTCCAGTGAAGGATTGCCCCGTCCCAAACTAGCCGAGAACCGCAGGTACACGCAGGCGAAGTTTCCCAGGTCACATGCTCCGCGTCTCCCAGTTGCGCCTCAGCGACCCTTCTTCGACTCCTCTGGGGTGACGAAGTACGTGTCCGCCTGGAAGGCCATTAGACGGCGCTGGTGCTGTATTCGTGTGTGTTGATTTAGTGCTGGTTAGTATTAGTTTAGGTTTGAATGGATTAGTATTGGGAAGCAACTGTACAGTACTTGGCGAGTATCCGCTTAGCTTGTTTGATTAGTATTGTAGCATTGCCAGGGCGAATCATGAATTTTCACCGGCCACGCTGGCTGTCCAACGAAAAACAATGTCAGCAGATCCTACATATTGTCCCGGAAAGAATGCTCTTTCTTTGCATTGATTGTGAATCCCCCCAAAGTTTGACAAGTTGACCCGCTTTCACATTTCTTCTGACTGTCAATGGAACTGACCTGACTGAGCCCCAACCATGATGAAGAAATCTACCAACCAGAAGCCACAACGTTTGCAATTCAACAGAGGGGCAAAACACAAATAGATTTTGTGCGTTGGCAACGCACTCTTGAGAGCTCACCCGCTTAGCACACTGTTGCATTGACGTAGCAGCGAACAGGAGCCTAAGAAACATAAGACACACCCCTCGACCCGGCCTGGGTTTCTTGGGCATCCTGAACCATGTCTGGCAGTTTGGAAGCTCCTCAAAAAATAGGTTTCGCCTGATTCCTTGATGGCTTTTGGGCTTCGCGCTGATCAGCATTCTCACCGGTCCGAAAAAAAGGGTGCTAATCTTGGCAACCTCCCTCAAAAACCAAGCAAAGGCCGCAAGAAGCATCCAAGAGCTCCCGTGGACCCCTCGCTAAGAACCAAAAAACACCACATTCTATTGGATCCGCTCCAGCCCCTGGCGAACCCAGGCCTCGCCAGCAAGGGTAGGCTGGGGCAGGTTCACTGCCAAGGTCTCGTTGGTGGCGAGGAGCCAATCCTTGAGCCCTGGCTGCTGCTCACATGGATCTGGAATACTCAACCAACATGAAGTTTTCTGGCCTTGAACTGGCCTGGAATATAGTGGAATAACAGGCAGCACCCCAATACAGAACCGCAATTGGAAGTTTTTCTCGAGGCTGACGCATCTGCACCCAAGGCATCAAACATGTCACTTGCAAAATGCAAGGTTGAGGCAGCGAGCATGATATATATACATCGTGTTCAAAGCTTGACTAAGGACACTGAAAAGGAGCGTTCGCGGGTGAGCTTGTTTTACCCGGTCGTTTTGAACGCGGGTCTCAATCTGGTATTGAATCGGCCGTGGTTTTGGACATCGGGGAGCTACCCTTGTCCAATCATTAAAAAGGGGCAGTGCTGGGGCAGAGACAGGGTTCTAAGACTGGAGAAGGAAGGGACCGCATTGACTTGATCAGAAGCCCTTTCGGCAATGGGTCCTACTGCTGCTTTGGTAACATCTTCCGTTCTTTTCATAGTGTGCCCAGCAAATGGGTCTGATTAGCTTGCTTTTTCACAAGCGGCGGTGAATAGTTCCGCGTTGGGAAATCCAATCAAGCTAGAAAAATCCAGCCCTTGGATACAAACAAACGAATAAACTCGCTCAAGTTGCATCCTGCAAACCAGGAGCACATTGCGGGGAAGGTTGTGCTTGTGGAAGGGTTCCCAGGTTTTCTAGGGTCCATGCTGCAACGGCTTCAATTTGGGGGCGAGTCTTGGGCGAAGGAATGGCATCTAAACAGGGGCCGAAGCACGGGAGAAGGGGGTGTCAAGGGTTGTTCAAGCCAGGCAATGGTAGTTTGGCTCAAACAACCCTCATTCCAAATGCATTTTGTGCTGGGGTCAGCGCATTGGTGGTGCCCAGCTCTGCTGGTTGGCAACTAGAACTGGAATTCTTTCTTATTAGCCCCGTTTAGCCCCAATTAGCCCCGATCGGACATTCCTAGCCCCAACTAGTCTCTATCCCCCCTCAAAGGGTTGAGGACCAGCCCCTCGAAACCCAAGAAACCAACAAACCGAAACCCACAAGAAACCAACAAACCAGGCCTCGACATACGCATCGCCGAAACTCTCCCAGCCAACACGACAGCCCCTGTCATCCGCATTCCCACGTAGCATAGCCAACATCGGCAACATCAGCAGCATCACGAGCATTCCCACCGCACAGCATGGCCCGCATCAGCATCCCCAGGACCAAAACACATACGCGAAAAATACATGTCTGACGCAATTGTTTGTCCCAAAACCTCCTGGGGGCTGTCCCCCCCCCTCACCCCCCAAAAAAAAACTACTGTCTCACATCAACTCTCTGGCCACTGAAAGTTGCTTTCAGTCATCAGCCCTATGGGGCACAACAGCGTACCTTCCTTTTGGAAACTGCACAGAACACAGCCATCCAATTTGGCCCTTGTATGTTTAACATTCCGACTTCACAAGCACTACCACCCTGAAGTTGCTTTGCTGCAAGAATGAAACATGACATGCCCAGGCAGAGTCAATCGGCGATGCACCGGCAATGCTGATTGCGCCATCCACGCTTGTCTGAACATCCCTTGCGAATCTTCGGTTTGATGCGTACACAGCTTAGCTGAATGCATGCGTTATGTCCCGTCATGTCCCGTCCAAATCTATTCTGTCTGCAGGACCTCTCATGCCAAGGTAGCTTACGCGATTGCCTACGCCACTGCAACGCCTGACGCCTCACGCCCCGGCCCCCACCCCCTTCAATCGCGAAGCAAGCTGGTTTTGAACTCTAGTCACCCTGCGGGAAACGACTACCAAACCTGCTTCAGGTAATGCATTTGACACTGCACCTGGGGCTGAAGTAGCCTATGTGTTTGCAATTGAAACTCAACTTGGAGAATTGCTTGGCCATGGCCCATGCTGAGACTCTTTTTTTTGTTCGACTAAGCATTGCTCAATGGACTTGGACGGACAACTCCAATTTTCGAACCATGGATCGCACACGGGGACTGATTTTGTTTTGCGTGGAGGGTGGGTGTAGGGCGTGTTTAGGGTAAGGCTAGCGTTGGTTTAGGGCCGGTTGAGGGCAGGAGCAAACGGAAGAGAAGTGATTTACAGCTGGTGCTGGCCAGTTTTGTTCTTTGATATTTATGTGCGTTGCGGACCCCCAAGCCAACCCTCAACCAACTAGACATCAATGCTAAACACACCCCACAAACCACTCTAAACCACCGCTGGGGCGTTCAGTTCTCCGGCCCCCGATTTCAAGCCTTGAGGTGTTGGGCCAATCTGCTCCCAGCCTGAGGGCATCTGCAAAGGCACCAGGTCTTTGTGCTGCAGGCTTGTAAGGAGCACCTCATACACCTCGTCGTTGTACTTGACTTGGGCATCTCAGCGGGCGGTTTGCCACTGAACTAGGCAATTGAGTACGTACCTCAAGTTTGCCCGGCCTTGGTGCTCTCTTTGCCACAAAGCAACAATCGCCCTGGTTTCGGCTGCCCCGGGCGGCAGAAAAACCTTGCATGGTGCCACGTGCCTGTCGCCATGGTTATGGTTCTGTGCGTCTTGCTCTAGTTGCTTTCCTCGTTGGAGTCTTTAGCATCAGCTTGCCCGGGACATGCCCGGGACTGGTTCAGTCAGGGCGCGGCCTGCCCTGATCTTGGGGCGCCACATGCCATTGCCTGGACAAATGGGCGTGACCTCGAGAACCCCAATGCCCATAACAGATGTCCTTTGTTGAACTGGGGCTGAACTTTCTTGAATCCCATAGGCCCCTCAAAACTAGAGGTTCAAACTACAAATCCGCATGCCTAACATCCAAACCACCCCTTGATCTGAAGGGTAACAATATTGACAGAGGATGAATAAGTACCACTTATTACTGAGGCACATTTAAACAACTCCAAATTCCGACGCCCTCCGGAAACGTGTAGTTTGGTTTCCATGTAAACCGCTCCAAAAGGGTAATCTCAACCAAAAAAACACCTCGACTCGTCTGATTTCCCGGAACGACTTTGTCCAGGACACTTCCTTGCTGCGGGGCCCTTTGGAAAAATTGCCCTGGCAGTGCCCCCTGTGCTTGCGCCCACTCAAGCCCAACCGGTTGCCCAGTGACCCTGGCAACGGAAGGGAATTCCGTTGGGGTTTGGCAACCAGGGAGCTGGCAAATCAGTCGCGTGCGCCGAAGGCCTTCCAGGTAGGTCACCTTCACCAAAGAGCCCTTGGGGATCTGCGGGTGGCTGGCCAAGTTGAAGACCAGAATGTCACCCACCTGTGCTCCGTAAGGGGAATTGAACTGAGCAACAAATCCCCCATTTGCTTGTGCAAGTCCCTTGGAAAGGGTCATCGTATCTCCAGTGGTGATGGATACCCTGTAACACCAAGAGGGTCTAAGAGAGAATCCAAGGAATGACTCCTGCCACATGGCTTAAGTTTGGCGCCTGCGGAGCCAAAGGCCGGCAGCCGCCCCAGTAACGCAGGGCCGCCGGCATGCTGCTGCCCAACCGCGTTGCCGAAAAAGTCTTGAGGATCTTCAAGGGTTCAGAGCTGTAAGCCGGCTCCCTCAGATGGTCGCAGCCCAAAGAGCGTACATGGAACACCGGGCTTCTGCTTTCTGGCTTTCCCTTGAACCATAGGGATTTGCCTGGATGATCCTGTTGCCAAAAGGACCTCTGCAATGCATCAGACATTGGAAACCACAAGCTCAAAAGGTCGCTTTGGGCAGGTAAGGTCAAAAGGATAGTTCAAGCCACCTCGGGTTTTCCTTCAGACAACAGCCCCGAATGCTCCGAATCAAACTGGAAGTGACATATCCATTTGCAAACTGACCCTAGGGACATATGTTGCAAAATTGTTTTGCTTGTGAGAACCAGGCAGCTCTCCGACGGGGAGCGCAATGAAGTTGATTCAAACTAGAAGACTGGCAGAAACCAAGAGGACGTGGTGCGTGTTCTCTTGTTTTTCGAAACTACCGGATTTTTTTAACGAAGGCCTTGGGACCATTGGCTTTCCAACTGCCGGTTCAAACATGTTCGCACTGGCGCCCAAGTATTGACCGGAATAGATCCAGGGACCAAATAAAGATCCTCTACTACTACAAGGTATCGGTTCCCTTCGGGGGTAAGATTCCCCAGGCAGTGGGCCTCAATTGTGGTAGCGGAGCAGGTTTTCTGAAAAGATCCAAACAAGATGTCATTCGATGGAGGAGGGGAAAACTGAAGAGACGCTAAACTTCTCGATGACCGCCAAGCAGCCGCCATCGTACGACGGAAAAGTGAGCTGGTTTAGATATGAAGAACTCGCAGATGATTGAATGACCTACCACCATCGAAGCGTCCAAGAGAGGACCACTCGGAGACGCTGACATGTACAAGGCAGTCCTCCAGAATGACCTTTTGCAAGATCTTGAAGAAGGAGTCAACTATTTCAAGAACACGCTGAAGAAGTTCTTCCTGAAGGGCTCGACGAACGTGTACTTTTACAGACTTCTCAGTTTCTTCAATCACAGAAGGCAGAACACCGAGTTCCTCCTGCTCACATCAAAATTTGAAATTCTCTTGGTGAGATGGAAGGCAGCCTTGATGCCTGTTCACACTGCACAGTCACCAGAGTTCATAGCATCAGTACAAGATGCCAATGCAAGAAGAATGGCGGCGCAGCAAGCAGCCGGTGTCAGAGCCGCGCCTCCAGATCTGCTGTCCACAATCAAGAAGTACTCAGGCAGTACACCTCAACGGCATGCAGACAAGACACAAGGACGCATTTCCCCTCAGCGACAATCTCATTGCGCAATTTTTCATCATCCAGAGTGAGTTGTCAGATCAGCAGAGAGAAAGACTGATCAGTGCAATGTCTTTGAGAAACATCTCGCTCGAGAATTACACCTGCGAGATGCTGAAGACACAGTATCATGATCTCTTCATTGCGACCAGAACATCCATCCAAGATCCATCCATCCGACCTCTTGGAGGAAATCGGAGTAATACCTTCTACATCGTAGAACAAAGGGAGTATGAAGGTCAAGAAGGTTTCTGGGTGGAAGACGAAGATGGAGTAGAAGGATTCATGGCGAACAATGATGAAGAGACTTTAGGTTTTGAAGGAGAAGATGTGTTCATTGCAAGGAAGGTGTCTGGGTTCAATTTCAGATGCAAGAAGAGAAAAGGAAAATAAGGCGAGTCACCAACGAGGTGGCTTCAAACCCTTTCGAAAAAGTGGCTCCGGCGGGAAGGCGAATATGGCCAACGAAAATCAGGATCCCTACGACCAGGCAGATTGGGGGAAAGGCAAAGGAAAGAAAGGGAAGAAAGAAAATCGAAATTCCAGTATCCCTATGATGGAAACAAAGGTTATCCATCCTATGACAGTGGCAAAGGAAAAGGCGGACATGACAAAGGAAAATCCAAAACGTTCACAGCCACAGCAGAGAATTTGGAGGAGCAGCCCGCTAATCAGCAGATTGCACCATCCACAGAGCCTACACATGCCGGTTGGACAGACCAAGACGGAATCCATCATGGAATTGGAGTGAATCAGGCTGGTACTCATCTCATAAGAAATCCAGCACAGGAAGCACTAATGGCATTCCATGACGCATTTCAGCAGCATGGAAAAGAAGCCATCCACGAGAAGCTGGCCCAAGACGATGTAGTTTCAGAACACAATTTGTCCGTCACAATAAAGCCTTTTGGCGACAAAGCTGATGGCGCCCGTCATCAACCCTCAGCACAATCCGACCTCTGCGATCCTGGACAACGGATGTACCAGATCCATGGGCAGCTGGCATGCAATCCAGCGTTTACCTCAGGCCATCGAACCCATGAAAGACCTCATCTCTTACCAGCACATTCCGGCCGAGACTAAGTTCATATTTGCCAATGGAGAGACAGCTAAGGCGAATTGGACCTTGCATCTCAAATATCACACCTCCTCCAGCCAGTACCAACATCGACATCCTTGAACAAGGCACTGCACCAATCCTCCTCAGCATCAGCCAGATGTGGAACCTCTACATGACCACTGAGCCAATGCGAAGATCACATGCAAGGGGTTTGGCATGAATCGTCAAGCAGTTCCGGATATATTCGGTACAGGACATGCGCTGGTCGATCTTGCTGGAGTGGCAAGAGTGAACCCACATGGAGAGATTGGCTGGAAAGGCCTACCAAATTATGTCTACGATGATGACAACAGCATCAAGCTTCCCTCCGGGGACTACTCCAAGAGCGAAACTGTTTGCGCATCCAAATCATCCGAGAGTCTCTGAAGCAGGATCATTGGATACCCGACAAGAAGAACAAGCAGCTCATCCGTGCGCACATCACGCCTCGGAAGGCGCTGTTCACACCAACTGGAGCGAAGGAATGTCCAATCAATCCTGACAACATCAGCCGAGAACGTACAACAGAGATCATTGATGCATCCAAGGGCGGAGATCCAGACATGTTAGAAAACAATTGGAGACTTACATCCCAGGCGAACAAATCAATGATCAACCTGTGGATAGGTAAGACCATTCTCACCTTCGCAGACAACCCGCTAAAAGATAAATAATCAGGTTCAGGATCTGCAGCAGAAAGGATCATCGACAAGAAAGGCCGGTTGACCATTGATCCTACTGCACCATCCGCAGACGAACCAACATCGTTACCGCTTGCATTAGGCAGAATCCACCAACGATTGTCAAAGCCCGAAGAGTTGAAGAAGCTCCACCTTCAGCATCATCACAAGACTACCGACCAATTTCGATTCAGAACCCGCGCTCTTCACTTGTCGCAATCTACCTTAACTTATTTGACAAATCCGAAGTGAGTGCGAAGTTTGCCGGACTTCAAGCGGACACATTTGGAGACATGACATTCCTTGATCATTGCTAGGTTCCTCTCGGAACTGGAGAACATATCATTGTTTTTGTCATCCTGGATGGAGCAACGACACTGCTCACTGCGGAGGCAGTGACAACCACGCAGGAATTGGAGAACATCACTGTCCTCACGAACTATTTTGACCAGTACCCCTTGGAGCCCAAATCAGTTGTTGGAGGTCAAGCCTTCATGACGGAAACATGGTTTCTATCAATCCCTCAACATCACACCAATATCGTTGGGACCGAATACACCATGGCCGAATCGAGCTGAAGAAGCAGTTCGGCTCCTGAAGGCACAGTTGAAAATCATGCTCAACTCCATCAATGCAGGCACAGCACCTGCAACACTGAAGAAGATGACATACCGATAACTTGTGAAGGCAGCTGCAACTGTCAGAAATCAGACCGTCACCTACGGGGGTGTACCACTCAACAGATTGACCTCCTCAGGAAAGAAATGGAAGCCATTGACACAGGGAGTTCAACATGACTAGCAGCAGCCACGCTGTTAAGATCCAAGACCTTCCCTTCAATAAGAATGTTCAACCACTGGTCATCCAAGATTCGCTAGGTCCAAAAGTTTCAGAAGATCATGAATGAAGCAGTACCCTCCGGGGACTGAAATCAACATTTTCAACAGGATCCAAACGACTGGCGACATCAGAGAATGTGGAATGGTTGCAAGAAGTTAAGACAACTTTGCATCTCATCCACTCAGTATGATGCATGCACGGCATATGTCCACACAATTGGCATCAATATGCCTATCACATCACCTCCACACAATTCATGCATAGCGTTGTGGCAACCCGATCAGCTGCACAGAATTTTGGTACTTGCCTGCAGCAAAATGCAAGTGGGAAGGTTACAATCCGAAGTCGTGGCACGCAGTCATGCTCGCCTCCGTTCATCACTCCTTTCGGATGCACCGGCTATCAAGCCGATGCTGATTGCGGTGGATCCCTCACATCCGCCACATGAACCTCATCAGCCTGACGACCAGCAGCCACCTGATCAACCGGATCATCCTTTGCCAGATCCAAGCCCTCCGACTTCACCGGACGAACACATGTTGGATCCACCGCAGGATCCTCCACATCAGCCTGATCAGAATGATCGACCCGATCGTCCCATGCCACCAGACAGTCCAGTAGATCCACCGCTGCCGCCTCACGACAAGCCTCGCGGGGATCCCGCGGGCAAACGGCAAAAACAGTCCATTTCGTCCTCAAGTGGACTCAATCGACTGGGGGGTGATGTCTCTTTGCCGCCTCAGCTGCAGCCATCTCAACCGATTATTCCGACTGCCCTGGCACCTTCACCTCCAGCAATCCTGACGAACCCTGAAGCAGAAGATATTGATGAAGAGCTTGAACTGCCTCACCTTGAGCAAGAGGAAACAACTCACCCAGTGCAGAGCAGTCTACCAAAGAAGCAGAAAACTGGGAAGAAGGGACCCTACTGCGGGGTGTCACGGTGAAAGCATGTGCGCACATATGATCAGCCAAGCTGAGGCCCTGGCGCAGCATGAGGACTGCCTGGCAGGCGTGGACCGGACAAATTGCGCAAGCCACAACCGACCAGCAGGCCAAAGCCGGGCATTGCGCTTTTTCCCTCCCCTGCCACTTCTGCGACCGCTAGAGACCACTGCCCTACTGGAGCCACAAGACACCACTGGAGCCACTCGAGCCAATAC